ACCCATCCTGGCTAATAGCCATTGATGGACCTAACCTCTATGAATCTATCTAGCTCTTTTTTTGAACCCTGTTAAAGTTCTAGCATTCACCGCATCCTCTGGCAAGGAGTTCCACAGGTTGCCTGTGCACTGAGTGAAGAAAAACTTCCTTTTGTTCATTTAAAACCTGTTTCCTATTAATTTCCTATGACTTGGAAGCCTGCAAAGGGGCAGGGAATTGAACCCAGCTCTCTGATTGCAGGTATTAAGCTGTGCTTGTGAATTTCATTAACTTGATTATTCCACCACCTTCCCAGCTGGACATGCTGCCACTTATCTGTTACTTGACATCCATCTGCATTGAGCAAGATTCCAAAGGAAGAGCAAGGGATCAGAGCTGGGAGAGAGGCCAATTGGTGGTATTCTGGGTGACAGGAGACAGGCTACGGCGGGCCAGGGAGGCCTCGGAGGGCTCTCAATTTCAAGAAGGACCGGAGGAGTCACTCCTCGAAGCTGGCTGCACCAAACAGTCTTTGCTAAATGTAGTCAACAGGAAGGGTATGTCTACACTGCATCCCTCTGTCAGCAGAGGGATGCAGATTAGGCAGGTTGACGTTGCAAACGAGGCAGGGATTTAAATATCCCATGCCTAATTTGCATAAAAATGGCCGCCACGTTTTGCCGACTCAGCACTTTGTCGGCAAAAAGCAGCTGTCTAGAGGGGGATCTGTCGAGAAAGAAAGCCTTTTTTTGACAGATCCTGTAAACCTCCTTGCAGGAGGCATAAGGAACAACCCACTTCCGAAAAAGAAAAAGAAAAAGAAAAAGAAAAAGAAAAAGAAAAAGAAAAAGAAAAGGGAGGGACACAGAGATGAGACTGCGACATCATTGCTAATAACATCAGAGGGGACAAGTCTCACCTCCAAGAGTGATGAGAAGGTGAAAATACCGTGACTGTGCTTGAGCTTAAGCTAATCATGGCAGACTAGGGCAGGGGTGGGGAAACACAGGCCCAGTGGCCAAATGCAGCCCTCAGGGTGCCTGGATCTGGCCTCTGAGGTTACCCCCCCTGTCAGGGGGTTCACACCCCAGTGCACCTCAGTGCCCCCTGACTGTCTTCATATAGCCCATCTCAGGGCAGAATACAGTCTGTATGGGTTGCTCATCATAGGCATTTGGGCTTATCTCCGTGGACCTGCTTACCTAAGCCAGGCTGTAACCTGTCTCCACGCCCGGGCCTTTCCTCCGGCCCCTCATCAGGGTAGCCTTAGCTGGCCGTCTCCCAGCTCTAGCTGGCTAGCCCCAGCAGGTCTCCCTCCTGGGAGCTCCTGCTTCCTCCACAGCCAGCCCCTCACTGGCCTCTCTCCTCTCTTGAGCAACCTGGGCTTCTCTATATATACGAGCCAGCTGTGCTCATACTCGCCCTAATGGGTTCAGCTGGCTTCTACCAGCCATTCGTGCAGTCCTGGGTCTTTGCCAGCTGGGCCCTCTCTAGCCCTAACTAGCTCCCGCTGGCCTCCTCTCTGCTAGCCCCGGCTCCGGGCCGGTGTCCTGGTATTAAAGGGCCAGTGCAGGGCAGGCACCCTGTCACACCCCCCAAATTGAGGAGCCTGGGCTGGCACTCCAATCCCCCTCCAGCACACCCTTGACTGGGCCCCCCTCAGTTCTGGAGTGTGAGGGGAATGTGAGGTGCCTCTTCCTCCTTCTCAGTTGGAGTACGTCTACACAGCAGCGTTATTTCACAATAACTGATCTTCTCCCGTCGACTTCTTGCTGTGTAGACCGCACCGAAAACTGAATGAAGCTATTTTGACGTAGCTGAAGTTGACGTAGCTTCATGCGACTTTAGTCCTGCTGTGTAGACGTGCCAGGGGCCACATCAGTGAGGTGTGTGGGTTTGTTTTGTGTTTTTGGTCTGTTTTTTGCTTCTCAGGCTACACCTAGACTACAGAGGTTAAGTCGGAAAAAGATACACAAACTGCGAACCTACATGGTGACAAATTTCAGAAAACCCTTCTCTTTCGACACATCCCTTCTTCCTCGAAGAATGAAGTTTATAGGGATGGTGAAAGAGCGTGTCTGCTTTTCCAAAACATTTTTCGGAAAAGCGGACCCGTTCCTTCGATGTGGCATTGCTTTTCTGGGATATCCCTGAAAAGCGCTGTCTAGATGTAGCCTTACTTGCGTGTGGTCCCTGACTGATTTTTCTGTGTGTCAGTGGCCTCCTACCCAAAAAAGGTTCCCCACCCCGGCCTGGGGTCACACCGCAAGTCTGTAATTACACCCATGCCTCATATCTCTTTACTAACTACAAGCTGCAGCTCTGAGTTCCTTCAGATTCCTCCTTTGCACTAAACCCTGTGGCTGTGTCTAGACTGGCAAGTTTTTCTGGAAAATCAGCCGCTTTTCCGGAAAAACTTGCCAGCTGTCTACACTGGCCGCTTGAATTTCCGGAAGAGCACTGACGATCTCATGTAAGATCCTCAGTGATTTTCCGGAAATACTATGCTGCTCCTGTTCGGGCAAAAGTCTTTTTCCAAAAGACTTTTGCGCAAAAGGGCCAGTGTAGACAGCACAGTACTGTTTTCCACAAAAAAGCCCCGATCACGACAATGGCGATCGGGGCTTTTTTGCGGAAAAGCGCATCTAGATTGGCCACGGACGTTTTTCCGCAAAAAGTACTTTTTGCCTGCCAATCTAGATGCTCTTTTCCAAAAATGCTTTTAACGGAAAACTTTTCCGTTAAAAGCATTTCCGGAAAATCATGCCAGTGTAGACGTAGCCTGTCTGTACTCACAGAAGCAAATGACAGGCTGGCTAGAAAGAGAGGCTTCTTACAATCCATCCATCCCGGCAGCAACTGGTGATTGTAGGGCCTAGACAGGAAAAGGCAGCACAAACTCATTTTCTGAACGTTGCCCTGATTTGGCTAGTAGATCTATTAAAATGCAAATAAGGGGTGAGTTGTCATCCTCTGGGCATCAGAGAAACTTAGACAGCTGCAAAACGAAACCAGGAATTTGCCTGTATGAAGGCTGCCGGCATTGAAAATATAGTTACTTCCACCAAAGCTTGAGGAGATTTTCACCTTCCTATGAGGCATCAGTGGGGAGATGCCAGAAGCAAGCAGCTGGGCTCACGGGAGAGACAATCTGACCACAGCAAGGAGTGTCCTGTGAAGTGTCACATAACGATCTAATAATATTCATAACTCTACCAAACTGGGAGATGTTGCAATATCGGAAACGTCAAAAGAAACGATCCAAAGAGAAGAAGGAAAATGACGGTATTGAGCAGACTCTAGCAAACCGAGACAACTTAGGAGAAAAACAACATGATTGCAGCTGAGGGGAAAACAATCGCTCCATGCAGAGAACAAACATGGAGGAAAGTTATGCAAGTTGAACCTCTCAAGTCCAGCATCCTCAGGACCTGACCAGTACCGAACCAAAGAATTTGCCAAACCATGGGAAGTCAATGTTGTCTAGCGGCATTACCAACACTTCCACTGCTTGCTGGGCACTTAGAGGACATTTAGGGATACATTAGAGCTAAATAGCAACACAGAACACTCAGAGGCAGGATTGGGGGCTGTAAACAACCTTTATGGGACCACGGGAAGCCTGGCCACACCCATGAAAAGTGGACACCCGGCTAACTAAAACCATGCCAGACCACGGATGTTTCCGGACCAGAAAGTGCCAGACTAGAGGGCTGTGTTTACATTGGCCCCTATTCCGTAATAGGGGCTGTGTCCAGACTCAGGGTTTTTTTCGAAAAAAGTAGCCTTTTTTCGAAAAAACTTCACCTGCGTCTAGACTGCAGCCGCGTTCTTTCGAAATTAAATCGAAAGAATGCGGCTTTTCTTTCGACGGTGGTAAACCTAATTCCACGAGGAAGAACGCCTTCTTTCGAAAGTGCTCTTTCGAAAGAAGGCGTTCTTGAAAGCAAACAGGCTTTTTAGAAAGAGAGCATCCAGACTCACTGGGTGCTTTCTTTCGAAAAAGCGGCTTGCTTTTTCGAAATTCCGCGTGCAGTCTAGACGCTCTCTTTCGAAAGAGGCTCTTTCAAAAGAGCCTCTTTCAAAGAGGCTTGCAGTCTAGACATAGCCAGGGATGCTAATGTAGCACTTGGGAATAGGCAAATCTGCGGGGGATTTAAATCTCCCCCGCGGCATTTGCATTAACATGGCTGCCGCTTTTTTCCAGCTGGGGGAAAAGCTGGAGAAAAGCGCCAGTCTAGACGTTATTCTCTGGAAAATAAAGCCTTTTCCGGAGGATTTCTTATTCCTACTTTCAAGTAGGAATAAGAGATCCTCCGGAAAAGAGCTTATTTTCCGGAGGATCGCGTCCAGACTGGCGCTTTTCTCTGGCTTATCTACAAGCCGGAAAAAAGCGGCAGCCATGTTAATGCAAATCCTGCGGGGGATATTTAAATCCCTCGCGGATTTGCCTATTCCCAAGTGCTACATTAGCATCCCTATTACGGAATAGGGGCCAATGTAGACGTATCCGAGAGGTTTAACCTCTCCTGAAAATGACCTTGGTCTGAACAGTGATTTCATGAGGGGCTGGCAATGCAAATATAGCATCAATACAAGTAAAAGGCAGTGGGATTCTAGGCGACCTACGCAGACTATTTTTTTGCTTTTTTTCCACCACCTCCAAATAAGACCCAGTTTCAGGAAAACATATAGGTCAACCCGGATTTATTACATGAGTCAACCTGAGAACATATGCGGTTCCACGTGGGACGGCTGAGAAAAGGCAATATTTCAAGAGCCTCTGCCAAAACCCTTTGATGTCAGCGGAAAGGCTCCTCGTAACGTCAGTGGACTTTGGATCAAGGCCTAGCTGAAGAGAGGGAGTGTAACAAGGGGAGGAGCAATTGGCTCCTTGTATAGGCAGGAGTCTTCTAAGAAATGGAAGAAATTCACTGGAGAAATCCGACACTTTCTGGGAATGAGACCCGGAAAGCAATTTCAAGTCTTGGACTCAGAGATGACTCGTAACGGCCCCCAAACTCAGTTAAGCCACAACGAGTTGTTTTTACGACAACACCCTGACTATATCTGACCCCGCTGACACTGGCCAGGTTTGCTGAGAAGGGGTAGCAGCAGAGAAGCCCAGGCGTTCAGACACTCAGACCCGCAGCTGGTGTAAACAGGTCCGCTCCTTTGAAACTAATGGAGTTGTGATGATTTACACTAGCTCAGGCTTTGTCCCGTAACGTTGATTGGAAATAGGTGGAAACAGAAACTCCTCAAGGCTGGATTATGGGGTCAGGGCTGGGCAAAGCAAAAAGCTGACGGGGAAATGAAAGCAAAGGGATGGGAGAATTTTTGGCAGGGTATTAACAATCTCCCAGCCATTCCCTGTACCGAAGGAGCGGCTCATGTTCCAGGTGGAAATTCTGGGAAAAGGAGCTGTTCTCATTTGCCTTCTAGGAGGAGGAGAAGGAATATGTGGAGTGTACTCTAGAATGGTGCAAGATATTCTATCACTCCCAGGTTTCTGGCAGACGCAGAAGCTGGTTTGGGGGATTTAGCCAGATCCTAAGGACCACACAGAAGCCGATTTGGGGGATTTAGCCAGATCCTAAGGACCTTGCTTTTGGATATATAACGCCAAGCTACTCAGGCTCCTGCCCTGAAGTGAGTTTTGTGTGCACGGCAGGAGTCCGGGCGTGCGAAGCACATGGAAGAGCTGGAGCCTAAATATTATTTTTCTTTTCACAGATGGTACACGAGACCGCTCAATAGCTGCTGAGATTTATTCGTTACCTGGAAGCATTGGCTGAGTCTGAAAGTAGAGCTGGATTTAAGTCCCGAAGGATATAACTCGGATTTATGCAGAAGGTTTATGGCACTTTGTCCCCCTCTAGTGGCAGCGAGAGGTTGCAGCGCTTGCTACTGGCTGGGCGAGGAGACGTGCATTTTTTTGCTCATGCATTCAACTCCAGAGGTTCCAGGTTCGATGCCAACAATGGCCAAGTCTGCCAGCGTTACACTTGCATGTCCCAATGCACTCTTAAGTTGGGTGTATGCTCTTGAGGACAGCGCTTATCGGTGGGTGAGTACAATGGAATTACAGTGATTCACATCACTGACCCTTGGGGTTTGTGCCAAGATTATCAAAAATAGCTACCAACGACTTAGGCCTCCAAATCCCTAGCTTGGGACAAGCTCAGTCTTTGAAAGAGGACAATGAAGCAGCATAAAAAACGTTAAAAAATGAATGGTCCTGTAGCACCCTAGAGACTAACAAAAAATATATGTATAGAATCATGAGCTATCATGGGCACAACCCACTTTAAAAGTGGAGCAAAAGGAACAGAACCCCCACTTTTAAAGCAGAAACAGAAAGGAGAGGGGGAGAAAATAAAATCCCCACCAATTATAGAGGCGAATAGAGTGGGCTGCAAGTGTCTCAGACTTAGCTTTTGATGTCAGTTGGGTGTTGAGTATAATGGCCCATCCAGTTCATGTCTTTGTTCAGTCCCTGGGAGATAGTGTCATATTTGCATATGAAGGCCAATTCCACAGTCTCTCTGGATATGTCTACACTACCCTCCTAATTCGAAGTAGGAGGGTAATGTAGGCATACCGCACTTGCAAATGAAGCCCGGGATTTGAATTTCCCGGGCTTCATTTGCATGAAGCCGGCCGGCGCCATTTTTAAATGCCGGCAGTTCGAACCCCGTGCATCGCGGCTACACGTGGCACGGAGTAGCTAGTTCGGATTAGGTTTCCTAATCCGAACTAGCTGTACTCCTTGTGGAATGAGGAGTACAGCTAGTTTGGATTAGGAAGCCTAATCCGAACTAACTACTCTGTGCCGCGTGTAGCCGCAAGGCACGGGGTTTGAACTGCCGGCATTTAAAAATGGCGCCGGCCGGCTTCATGCAAATGAAGCCCGGGAAATTCAAATCCCGGGCTTCATTTGCAAGTGCGGCATGCCTACATTACCCTCCTAGTTCGAATTAGGAGGGTAGTGTAGATATACCCTCTCTCTCTAGTTGGTTACTGAAATTACTTTGTAGATGAATGGCTACTTTTAAACCCATTAGTGAGTGCCCAGGCAGGTTAAAAGGTTGCCTCACTGGTTTCTGTGTGGTACCTTTTCGAATATCTGATTTGTGTCCATTTATCCTTTGGCATAGAGACTGTCCAGTTTGGCCAATATCCATGGCAGAGGGCATTGCTAGCACTTGATGGCATAAATCACATTAGAGCAGGGGTTCTTAACCAGTGGGGTGTGCCTACCCAGGGGAGGTATGAAGGGGATACAGGAGAGGAGTGAGGTGCCTCCCAGAAAATGTATCTAGATTGCCTTCTCACTGGATAAAATTCGAAAGTTTAGATTTCTTCATAGTTAATATTATGAATTAAAATTATAAACATTAATTTCTTATTAACGTCTAGAGATCGGCGGCCCAGGCAGGGAAGCCTTCGCTGGCCTGAGGGAAGGAGGCTGTGGGAGGCCCGGGCTAGGTTTCAGCCTCGTCAGCCAGGAGCTCTGGGCAGGCCTCTGTCTCCCTCAGAGGCTGGGCCCGGACTGAGCTCCCTGGCAGAGTTCTTATAGTCCTAGCCACGCCCCTTAGCTTCCTGTCAGGTGAGGGGGTGGGTCTAGGCTGTGCACAAAATGGCTCTGGAGGGGGAGGGGTGAACATGAAGTTCACTTTCAGGGGAGGTGTCAAGGTAAAGAACCCCTGCATTAGAGGATGTGCAGATGTCTGAGCCCCAGATGGGGTGGCTTGTGTGGTTAGGCCCTGTGTTGGTGTAGCTGTGAGGACGGAGTTGGAACCAGAGTTTATTGCAGAGGCAGGTTCCAGGGTGAGTATATTTGAGGTGTGATGCGTGGGTGCTGGAAAATATTTGCTTCAGGTTAGGGGGTTATCTCTAGGCGAGGATTGCCTGTCTCCAAGGGCTGCGAGAGTGAGGGGTCGTTTTCCAGGATAGGTTGTAGATTGTTAATGATGTGCTGGAGGGGGTTAAGTTGGGGGCTGTAGGTGAGGATTAATGAAGCAGCATTCACCATAACCTGTTGCTTTCACCATTTCAGCCCTCTCTTGGCAACCTTTCCCTGGCTCTCCGTTCTCAGCCATATCCACCAGGAGACATTTGTTTTTGCTTCAGGGAATAATGGGAGAGAACACCACATTTCTAAAACCAAATCTGCCTCTTTTTAGAAACTATTTGCAAAGCGAGTGCACCTGTAGCCAGCCTTTCAGCCACGTGCTTTCTGGGGTCTCCTCGAATCTCTTCCCCCCTGCAACCTGTCCTCCTCCTTTCCAGTTCCAAGAAGGCTGCTGCCGTCTTTTATTTTCAAGGCCCTTCATCACCTAACCCTACCCTCCTTAGAAGTTCTCATTCTCCATCACGATGTCAACTCTCACTTCCAGTTGGTTAGTGGTGCCAGCCTCCATCTGCTGCTTGTCACATTCCCAGACATGCACCGCATACTACAGGCTACCCCCGCGCTTACGACCTAATTGGTTCCTGGAGAACAGTCATAAGTCGAACCCTTCTTTCTCATAGGCGCTATGTTATAAATGGCGGTTCCATTCCTGGAAGCCCATTTCATACCCTAAAAATACCAAAATTGACTATGGAAATGGAGGAAAACTAAACTAAAGAGCTCAAAAAATGCACAAAAATAACTAAACCATGAAGACCGATGTGGTGGAGACGCATGCAGTTCAAGAAACAGCCGCAGACAGGCGAGTCTGACTGATCTTGTGCATTTCTGTTTTGGGATGATGTGTGGAGCCTGTGTTGTACGCCGTCGTAAATGCGAGCTGCGGATGTATACTGGGGGGCTGTGCCTACACTGGGCCACTTATTCCGGAAAATCAGCCGCTTTTCCGGAATAAGCTGCGAGCTGTCTACACTGGCCCTTGAATTTCCGGAAAAGCAACAATGCTCTACTGTACAAAATCAGCCGCTATTCCGGAAAAACTATTCTGCTCCCACTCGGGCATAAGTCCTTATTCCGGAACACTGTTCCAGAAAAGGGCCAATGTAGACAGCCCAGTAGTCTTTTCCGGAAAAAAGCCCCGATCGCGAAAATGGCGATCAGGGCTCTTTTCCGGAAAAACGCATCTACATTGGCCACGGACGCTTTTCCAGAAAAAGGGCTTTTCCGGAAAAGCAGCCTGCCAATGTAGACACTCCTTTTCCGGAAAAACTGAAAACGGAATAGTATTCCGTTTTAAGCAGTTCCGGAAATTCATGCCAGTGTAGACACAGCCGGGGGTTTTAGGAGTTATCTTGCATGAAAAAAATGGTCGTAAATGGCTGTAAGTAGGGCAGTCATAAGTTGAGGGTCGCCTGTATTCCCCAAAGCTATTTCATTGTCCTCCTTCAAATGTTCCATTGCCATGAAGCCTACAAAACACTCTACAGTCGCTAGACTTCTGAGCTGTGTCTACACTGGCATGAATTTCCGGAAATGCTTAAAACGGAATACTATTCCGTTTTCAGTTTTTCCGGAAAAGGAGTGTCTACATTGGCAGGCTGCTTTTCCGGAAAAGCCCTTTTCCCGGAAAAGCGTCTGTGGCCAATGTAGACGCGCTTTTCCGGAAAAGAGCCCCGAGCGTCATTTTGTGAGCGCTTTGTGCCAGGAACCATTTCTTTGTGCTGTTTTGTACAGCACCGAGCGCAATGGGCCCTGCTCCATGACTGGGATTCCTCGGATAAGGCAGATAAATTAGGAAGATAATAATCGGCAGTGGTGTAGGTGAAATGCCTGATATGGCGGGGTGTGCATGGAACAACCTGTCTGCCCATGTAAGTGGTAGTGGAGGTTTTTGTGCACCTTTTGGTGCATGTACTGCAGTGCAATCCATATGCAGAGAAGATTGCAGACCTCAGTGGGCTGGCATAGCTCAGTGGTTTGAGCTTTGGCCTGCTAAACTCAGAGCTGTGAGTTCAATCCTTGAGGGGACCATGTAGGGATTTGGGGCAAATCTTTCAGGGATGGTACTTGGTCCTGCCATGACAGCAGCAGACTGGACTCAATGACCTCCTAAGGTCCCTTCCACTTCTACGAAATAGGTGTATCTCTCTGTATATCATGGCTCAGAGATTTCAAACTGTGGAGTCTCCCCCTGCAGGAGAGCAGGGATGGAATGGGGTAGGGGAGCTGCAATGCCAGGAGACTGGGTCTTTGGCTTATCAAGGAAGGACTTGGTCCTGACCCTCTCTTCCTTTGTCTCTGGATTGGAGGATGCCACCAAACAGAATACAAAGGGAGCTTAGCTCAAAAAGTGTGAATATGGCTGTTAGAGCCATGTGGAGCAGATTCTAAGGCCTAATCCACAAGGCGCCTGCACTGTGAGCAGCATGGGTTTGAGTTAATCTACTCCCTTCATCCATTGTCATCCTGGTGACTTGAAGTCTGGGACCTGTCTTATCTAGCGCCCGTTGCCACGGTGTCTGAGCGCTGCCCAATCCTCAGGTATGTAGCCACATGACATCCTCCCCCCACTCCCTGCTCCCTGAGTTAGGGAAGCGGCGTCCTCTCTCATGAAGTGTGGGCAGACGGGGATTGGAAGCAAGAGGGCTCCTCAAAACGTACGTAGGCCCCGAATGCCCTTTGCCATCAATGGGAGCTAGGCCGTTCTCCTAGCCTGGAGGACCTGGCCCTATGTGATTAGCCCAAGGCCACCCAGAAAGGCTGGGAGGGAGAAGGGAGGTGAAACGAGGTCTAGTGGGCTAACCATTGCACCTGCCGTCATAGATGCTGACTCTAAGAACATAAGAACGGCCATACTGGGTCAGACCAAAGGTCCATCTAGCCCAGTATCCTGTCTGCCAACAGTGGCCAGCACCAGGTGCCCCAGAGGGGGTGGACCGAAGACAACGATCAAGCGATTTGTCTCCTGCCATCCCTCTCCAGCCTCTGACAGACAGAGGCCAAGAACACCATTTTATCCCCTGGCTAATAGCCTTTTATGGACCTAACCTCTATGAAATTATCTAGCTTCTCTTTAAACTCTATTATAGTCCTAGCTTTCACAGCCTCCTCTGGCAAGGAGTTCCACAGGTTGACTACACGCTGTGTGAAGA